ATGAGAAGGCAATAGTTTAGACGTCTCCAGGAGAGAGTTCTTTAATTAATAAACTAACTACTGTGTTTTGATATAGTAAGAAGAGGCATTTATCTGTGGGAGAATTTGGAGTCACATTAGCCATAAGTAGACCAAGCAAGAAAAGACAAAGATGATTATTAGCTACATTGCAGAAAAGGAAAAGTAACCACAGTATAGTACATGACTTAGCTGTGAATGGCTTAGCTGTGAATAGCATTCATCTACTTATAATAATGTAAACATAGATAATTATCTAACCAATGTGATGATGGAATTCTATTGGGAGGGTGGGGCAATGGGAAAAGGTGTGTATATGAGTGAGATTGAAGGTGAGGTGCGGAAAAGAGTTCAACTCTCAGAAGTCAATGGATAATGCCTACAACTGAAATATCAGGATATAGCAGTTTGAGCATGGTATTAAAATAGAGAGACCAATAGCAAAACAATCAGCTGACAATGGAAGTGGGTTCTTTTGTGGAGTAGAAAATTGGGTGAAAAGAAAGATGGCCGAGGGCAGTGTTCGGCAAACTCATTAGTCAACAGAGCCAAATATCAACAGTACAACGATTGAAATTTCTTTTGAGAGCCAAATTTTTTAAACTTAAACTATATAGGTAGGTACATTGTTATTAACTTAATTAGGGTACTCCTAAGGCTTAGGAAGAGCCACACTCAAGGGGCCAAAGAGACACATGTGGCTCGCGAGCCGCAGTTTGCTGACCACGGGCCTAGGGGAATACGGAATTTTTAAATGTCTTGGGCATTTGACTCTAAACTGGGTGTGTGTTGTGTATGCAAAAATAAATACCCAGTTTTAAAAAGGGAGACAAACTTTTTCCCATACAGAAAATTCCATACAGCAATTTCTAATTAGGGGCCAGAGATACTACCTTACTCTTCTTTGGATGAGACCCAGAACTGCTGATATGATACAACATTCATTGTAAACCACTCAAGTGCAGAAATAAGCCTCCTCTTGTTTTTTATTTTTATTTCAGAAAGGGAGAGGGAGAGAGAGATAGAAACATCATCAATGAGAGAAAATCATCAATTGGCTGCCTCCTGCACGCCCCCTACTGGGGATTGAGCCTACACCGCAGGCATGTGTCCTGACTGGGAATCCAACCATGACCTCCTGGCTCATGAGTCAACGCTCAACCACTGAGCCACACCCACCACGCAGAAATAAGCCTCCTCTTTTCCAAATCAGCATTTTGTCTTGGGGTTGGGAGAGGTCTTCTTGCTCCTTTTCCCAAAATGAAAGACCAACTCATCCACGTTGAGGGTCATCCAAGGCGCCTCTGCACTGAGGTTCAGTCAGGACAGTGACGTTGCTGCACCCTCCCACGTCACATTCAGATATCCATGCGGAGTCTGCTCTCCCAGTTAGTAGTATGTAAGGGCATAATGCTTTATATATAAGATATCAAGAAATAACATGTAGACATGTAAAACACAACCTGCTCCATCTAAAATTAGAGCAGAATACTCTATTTTTAATAATAATAAAGTTTCATAATAGTGATAATAATTGAGTAAGGCCCTCCTGACGACCCTTAAGCTTCCAGGCTGGGATGGGAGCAGCCCTAGGCCGGGAATGATGGATGTGGCGTCACCGCCTTCCCTGTGGCCAGAGCACGAGAGTCTCAGACCTGCGCCGGTTCTGTTCTTTCTGTATTGATTTGGTGTGACTGTTGTTTTATGCTCCGGATTACATTACCTTTCTGGCAGCCTTCCTGAGCAAAGCACCTCCACGCTGTACGCGTGACCTCCGGTCGATTGAGGACCAGAATAGTCGTCGCCAACCGGTGGTCTGTGAGGTCCGAAAGGTTGGCGGCCGCTGGACCAGAAGACAGTGCTGAGGCAGAGCTGCTATACAGGCTTATTGAGTTGAGGTCAGACTGACGGGATCAGGCAGCCATCCAGCCCCAGAGGCTGGTGCAGAGCCCACTGGTGAGGTCCCCCGGGGGGGGGGGGGCAGGAGTTGCCACCTTGTTGTATATGAGGTATTAGGAACTTTAAAGAGCTGACGTCTGCACTATTCAGGCTTCGACTGCTGCTTTTCATCCGCCTCCTTTTGGTCAGTCAGGTGAACCCCGCTCCCTGGCAGCACTTTCTGATCCTCCTTTACAGTTCCCTTCAGGTGGATCTGTGGCCTCAGTTTTTCAGGCACCGTATCCAGCCCTGCCAGGCCGACTAACTGAAGGTTTCCTTCCCTGGCCTCTAGATCCATGCCTTTCTCTCTCTTTCCTTCCTTCTTAGTCTGCCTCCTAAGCCTGAGTAGGATTGTTTAAAAGAAATGATGTACTGTACCATACCATGGGAGAGAATTCATCAACAAAAAAAGGAATGAACTATTGATATGTGCAACAAGATAGATGGATTTCAAGGATATTTCTAAGTGGAAAAAGCCAGTCTCAAAAGATCGCATACTATATGATTCCATTTATAGAACCTTCTTGAAATGACATAATTATAAAAAAGAAGAGATTCGTGGTTTCTTGGGGGAGTGTGAGTAGCACAAGGGAGATCTCTGTGACCATAGAACAGTCCTGTATTTGGAACTTGTGGTGTAAGATGTGGTGCTGGTTACGTGAATCTACACACATGATAAAATGCCACAGGATTATACACATACTTGATAGCAATGCAAATCTTCTGGTTTTAATATTGTACTCTTGTTATTTGAGATATAACCGATGGGGAGATGGGGTGAGAGTTGTACAGAATCTCTCTGTGCTATCTTTACAGCTTTCTGGGAGTTTATAATTATTTCAACATAATTTTTTCATTTCTTAAAAAGAGGAATGAACTATTGTTGATACAACCCAAAAGTAGATTAGGTTGCATTTACTAATTAGGTAGATTAGTGAACATTTCTCCCAAGAAGATATATGAATGGCCAATAAGCACATGCATAGGTGTTTAATGAACTTCATTAACTATCAGGGAAATGCAAATCAAAACTACAGTGAGATAGAGATCACACTCATTAAGATGGCAATTATAATTAAAAAAACAAACAGAGAATAACAAGTGTTAGGTTTTGGGAGACATTGGGAACCCTTATACACCTTTGGTGAGAATGTAAAATGATACACCACTTTGGAAAACCATTTGGTAATTCCTCAAAATGTTAAACATAGAGTTCCCATATAACCCAGCAACTCCATTCCTAGGTATATACCCAAGAGAAATAAAAACATATTCATGCAAAAACTTGTACATGAGTGTTTATAACAGCATTATTTATAATAACCAGGAAGTGGAAATGACCCAAATGCCCATGAACTAATGAATGGATAAGTGAAAAGTGGTATATCCATACATGGAATATTATTCAACAATAAGAGGATAGGCCTTGAAAACATTGATAAATGAAAGAAGCTAGCCACTGAAGGCCACATATTGTATAATTTAATTTATATGAAATGTTCCAGAATAGACAAATCTATAGAGATGGGAAGTGGTTGCCTTGGGGATGAGAGTGGGGTGGATGGACAGGGAATGACTGGTAATGGGTACAGGGTTTCTTTGGCGGGGGGGAATGAAAATATTCTAAACTTAGATGCAGTGATGGTTGTACAACTCAGTCAATATGCTAAAATCCATTGAATTGTATTCTTTAATGGATGTATTTATAGTATATGAATTCTATCTTAATAAAGATGCTTTTAAAGAGTACATACTGTATGATTCCATTTATATAAAATCATGGAAAATGCAACCTAATCTATGGTGACAGAGAACATCAGCGGTTGCTTGGGAATGGGAAAGTGTTGAGAGTAGGGAGAAGCGGGAGGGATGGAGGGATTATAAAGGGACAAGACAAAACTTCTTTGGGGCGATAGAGATGTTCACTATCTTGATTGTGGTGATGGTTTTATGGGTGTACACACATAACATCAAATTGTGTCCTTTAAACATGTGCAGTTTATTGTTTATCAATAACTCATTTTAAAAAACCCAGAGCAAAACTGTGTGTGAAATTCACAAATTTGATAAATATTTATTGGGTGCTGGTATAGTGTTAGCTCCTGGGGATACAGTGACAAGAAACAAATGTGTCCAGTCTTCAAGCAACTCATGCTTTGTCAACAAGGAAGCATGTGTAATATGAGCTCTATAGACATGCCTGGAAGTCATGGTCACCCTCGTGGGGAGGTTTCCTGGAAGTGCTGACACCTGAGGTCAGCATTCAAGGGCAACTGGGAGCTAGAAGTAGAAGGTGGGGTTTTGTGATGACATAATGGTCCTCCTTCATGACACTAACCTGGGGGAGCAGAGGAGCACAGAGTATGTTCTTGTTACATCTCAGAGGGGACCTGATTTTATTCTCGCCATAACACCCCCCACCCCAGGAGTCACATGACAGTGAAGTGGATTGTGGTACTAACATGCACCTGAACAGGAAATGCAAAGATAGTACATCCTTCATCGCTCTCGGCAGACTTGCTCTTAATTACTTATTTGTGATTATGCATTCCAGGTCTGTCCCTCCGCTACACTGTGTGCTGTGTGAGGGCCAAGAGAGACTGAGTGTCTCATTCACCCTCTTGTCCAGGCAGGTAGCACCGTGCTTGGCACATGGCAGGGTTTCATAAAGATTACTTGCTGATAGGGTTGGATGTGGGCTGGTACGGCGTACATGGAAACACATTTTATTGGTGGCCTCAGGCATGGCTCAAACTCTATGTGGCTCTAGTAATGAAGTAGTCCCACTGCGCCCATCACTCTCTGTATCCTAGCCCTGGCCCTGGTCATGTCAGCACCCACCACCCTGCCCTTGTCCTACTGGTCTGGTGGTAGGAGACTCCACTCCCAGAGGCTCTCAGGGTGAGGTTCTCCTGGGAAGTCAGGACGGCCTGTCCTAGGGAGGGCAGTTCTGGCCATTGGCCGGCTCTGGGCAAGGCGGGCATTCTTGGGCCCTGGTTCAGGGACCACTCATGTGTCGTTTCTCCTCCTCCTCTTGCCTCTAGCACTTCTTTATGCCACCATCTTCGGGAATGTGACGACCATTTTCCAACAGATGTACGCCAACACCAACAGGTACCATGAGATGCTCAACAGCGTTCGGGACTTCCTGAAGCTCTACCAGGTGCCAAAGGGATTGAGTGAGCGAGTCATGGATTATATCGTGTCCACTTGGTCCATGTCCAGAGGCATTGACACAGAGAAGGTGAGGAGGGCGACGAGCTCAGATAAGCCCCTTGTCTGCCAGCCTTCCCGGGGAGACCTGGGGCTCTCCTAGGACAGTGGTTCTCAAACTGGCTGTGCCTCAAATTCACCTGGGTGGCTTTGGGTGTCCAGATCCTACCTCCAGAGATTTTGATGGAAATGGAAGTCTAACTGTCCAGGGTAGAATTTCCCACACTCATATAATGATAAGAATCGGGGCCACGCAGGGCGCAGTCATCAGCATTACTGATTGTCCTTTTGCCTCAGGCTAGGATGGCACAGCACTGCTACTGATCCTGTGTGTATTCAAACTTCTGGTATTTTGTTCACCATGGATTTTTGTATGATTTTTTAAAACATTGCATTAAACTATGATTTTTCTCAATTGCTGACTTTTTAGCATCCCCTTCAGTTTTGTGCCCAAGACTGTGGCTTCACTCTAGTCTTGGCCTTGATAGGAATCCTGTGATGTGGTCATTCAGAGCAGAGTCCCAGCCTCTACCCCAGATCTATGGAATGAGAACTTGGGTTGGGGGTGGGGGGTAGGGAGAGACTAGAAATCTGCATTTTTAACAAGTGCCCAGATGATTCTATTTATCAGTCAGGTCTGGGAAACACTGAGCGAGGGCTGGTGCCTTAACCATCGGCTGACTTGGGCAAGGCATTGGTTAGGCACCTCCCTAGACATCCGTTTTCCCATCTAGAAAGTGGAAATGACCACAAATCCCTCTTGTTTCCTGAGAGTTGCATTATTCTAGATGCATTTCAATAAAGTGAAGAATAGAGAACAGAATATTGGAGAGAATAGAGAAAAGATGCAATGGGCTTTATTATTCACTTAAGAGTTATCTCCTTTGTGTATTTTCTATAAGCAAAAGTGTAATCCTAGGCCCGTTTCCCTCTGCTTCTCAGTCTTTTCAACTGCACTTCTTTTATCGTCAATTTGTAAGTACTTGGGGGATTACTGATTCCTCTCCTTGTTAGAATGAGGAAAACAGAAAGATAACACCATTGCAAAAATGCCTTAGGACACATTCAAAGCCAAATTCAGCTGGCTTTGGACCGCTGCCTGAGCTCCTGGGCTCCCTCCCTTAGAACAGTCGGTTGAGAGCTGGCTGTTTAAAAGGAAAACTTGAACTAAACCTAACGGATCCCAACTTAAAAGGATCGGTACTTTAGTTCTGTTGAACTTCTGCCATGATAACAACAGTGACGTCACAGCGACACCACAGCACCAGCTTCCGTGAGTTGAACGTACACTGAGCATAAGTACTTGCTGCCCGTCTCCACGCCGGGCTCTGTATTCATGCTTCACGCAGGCTCACAAGGACCCTGCTGTTATTTCTGTTTGAAAACGATAAGGACACGGAGGCCCAATTAATTTCATTAACTCCCCGTGGTCACAGAGTAGAGCGGCAAAGCCAGGATTTGAACCCAGTTTGTCTGACTTCAAATTTTGTGCTTTTCCTACTATCATTTTTTAAAAAAAATATAAATAAAACATGTGGTAGAGGGAAGAAGGACAAGCACAGAGTTGCCCTCATTTCTCAGACAGGCAGGACTTAGTCCCTGGCTCTGCCAGTCCCCGGGCCCAGCGGTGCCTGTTGCTGCTGCTCTGCTCTCTCAGCAAGGCTGCGGGTCCTGGGGGTGCCTGGGAGCTGATGGAGCAGAAAGGAACATTGATCTCTCAGCCCTGGGGCTCCTTTTCCCATGGGGCCAGGATGCCTTTGCAAAGCTGGTCGTGGGAAGAAACCCCTTCCCCACCCACACTGCAGGCAGAGCTGGGTGGCTGCCCATGGAGACAGCACTGACAGCCTTCCCCCTTCCTCCGCCACCCAGGACTTAGGGATCTGCCCCAGGTTCTCATCCCATAGAACAACGGTTCTCAACCTGTGGGTCGCGACCCCTTTGGCGGTCAAACGACCCTTTCACAGGGGTCGCCTAAGACCATCCTGCATATCAGATATTTACATTAAGATTCGTAACAGTAGCAACATTACAGTTATGAAGTAGCAACGAAAATAATTTTATGGTTGGGTCACAACATGAGGAACTGTATTTAAAGGGCCAGAAGGTTGAGAACCACTGCCATAGAAGAAGGGATGCTGAGGCAACTCCCCACAGAGCCTAGCCTGACCTGGGATGGCTGTGCTTGCCAGCCGGCCACTGCAGTCCCATGTCCCATGCCTCTCCAGCAGTCCCCTCTCCTCCATGCTAGGTCAGAATGGTCAGTGATGGGCAGGGGAGCCAAGGTGTGTGTGTGTGTGTGTGTGGTGGGAGGGTGGTAGTGCTGGGCTCATTCAGTTTACTAGTAATTGGCTGGTGACCTTGAGCGTGTCACTTGTCCTTCGGAGTCTGTGACACCTGGAAAGTAGATGGCTTAGTACTAAGGCCTACCTCTAAAGCCCTTTGAACTCTGACCTTCTGGACTTTCAAAGCCCCCCTCAGGCTGCCCCGCTGCTCTGCTGCCCTGAGAATATCCGAAATCAGAGCCCACGTGCGCCCAGCCCCGCATGTGCCGGCTCACGAGCCCGGGAGGCTTCTGTGCTCGAGTTCCAAAACGGAGTCTGGAGGAAACGCTAAGTGTTGCTTCAAGTGCACATGACTACTAAGTGTTAAAGCAGGAATTGGATCCAGATCTGCCTGCCTGAAAGCCTATTCTCCCAGCCTCGCTGCTGTCCTCCCAATCTGGGGGTGGGGGTCGGGGGGGGGCGCTCCAGGAGCTGCCATGGTGACCTCTCTCCTGTGGCCTTCAAGGCTCAAGGACCAGCAGGGATGGTCTCTCCTCAGAACCAAGTGGAAGGGAAGGTGGCCCATTTCAGGGCCTCGAGCTGGCACTCTCCCTCAGAGACAGGCATTCAGGGTCCCCTACCCCGCCCAGTGTGGCGCCAACAGAAGGCTGATGGAGATGCCTGGTGGCTGTGACAGTCCGCAATCCCTCCACCCCAGGGTCCCTCTGCTCCTCACACATGCTTCCCAGTGGCTCCGGGAGCGGTGCCCACGAATAAAACATTGTCACCATGCCAAGGCCTCGTCACTAGCAGCCTCTGCCAGCAAAGTCCAGCCCAGAGGAAACCAAATATTTAAAGGTGAACTTTAAAGAGTAAATCTTGGTTTCGAACCACCGAGCACAGTTTTGACATGACACGTGAGCTTTCTACACTCCCTTGTGTTCTGTTTGGAGAGAGGAGGATCCAAATTAAATCCACATTTCTCCAGAAGTCTTGTTTTAATGAGCTCTAAAGAGGAAAGTATTAGCAAGCACTCCCAAGCACTGGCAGTCTGAATTTTCCTCTGTCTCGGCCAGTCCTCCATCCTCTCTCCCGGAGACCATCCTGACCGCCTTAGCAACCTGCAACCCCAGAGCAAGAACGCAGAGGCACGCAGAGGGAGGGGACTGGCATTCCTCCAGGCCCTTCCTAGGGCCAGGCACTTCCCCAGGGAAGTGTGCTGGTGGGTGTAATTCCATTTATTCCTCACCAGTCAGTGGTAGCAGAGTGCATTTCACAGGAGATGCCGAAGTGTAGAGCAGCTAAGCCACTTGGAGAGGAAAGTGAGGTGGCATTTCAACTGCTTGCCCTTTTTTCACGGCCACGCCTCCATGCAGAGCTTAGGGGCACCTGCACGGGGTGGGGTAGGAGCAAAGCTGTCGAGATTGGAGCTGGGGTTTGAAGGCGGCTGAGGGACTTTAAAATTCCACGGTGAGCACAGACGCTGAGGCAAATGGCCTGTGCTAAGGCAGAGAGGCAGGGATGAGGGAGAAATGTCCTCATTGGGCATGGTTGATTGTGTGCTAGGATTATTTCAGGAACACTTCTAATTTCTCTGAACAAGTCCACTTGGGGCTATTGTGTTCCTTAATATGGAAGGGGCTATGCAATGGCTTCTTGCAAATATTTTGTCTGAGAAAATATTTCTCCCCCTGGAAAAGGCTGAGAAATTTTCATTCCTTAAAAGATGAGACCCAGAGCCTCTTATAGTTCCCACGTTGCCTCGGTTTCCTAAACACTGAGAACCAAATCGCAAGCCCATTTGTGTTGAGCAGCCACATTGTATAGGGAGTGGTTAGCATATAAACTAGGAGTCTGACTATATAGTTTGAGATCCCAGCTCTGCCACTTCCTGGCTGTGCCACTTTGGACAAGTGGTACAATCATAGTATTTACCTCCTAGGGTCATGTGAGGATTCAACTAGCGAATGCATAGAATACTCAAAAATGTAAAATCACATTCCCTTGACCTTCCCTTCCTTCTTTCCTATTCTCTTCCACACTTACTGCTAAATTTTACTTATTTTGCTTATTATTTGTCTCCTCCCATTAGATGTTAAGTTACACAAGGGCAGGGATTTTTGTCTATTTTGTTCTCTGCTACATTCTCAGAGCCTAGAATGATTCCTGGCATATAATCAGATGCTCTATAAATAAGTATGAAATGAATGAACCACTCTAAAATACTTAGCAATGCCTGGCATATGGTAAGTGCTTAGTAAATATTACTTTATATCTCTCTTTAAATCACACCCATATTCCGTGCATCTGCAGATCATGTCAGTTCTGAACATGATCCCTATCACTGGCTCCACTGCCAGCATTCCAGTCCAAGTCCCCTAGGCCTCACCTGGACACCTGCAGGAGGGACCTAACTTTGATGTCAGAGACTCACAGGGAGGCCACAGGAGGCCTCAACCCTGTGGCAGTGTTCAGGTTCTTGTCTCCATGCAAGAAAGAATTCGAGAATGAGACAGAAAGATTCGGTAAAGCACAGAGGTTTTATTAAAGCGAAAGTACACACTCAGGAATGAGTCTCCCCAAAGGGTCTCAGGGGCTAGGCCAGCCATGGGCAAACTACGGCCTGCGGGCCGGATCCGGCCCGTTTGAAATGAATAAAACAAACAAAAAAAAAGACCGTACCCTTTTATGTAATGATGTTTAAGGTTCTTGTCTCCATGCAAGAAAGAATTCGAGAATGAGACAGAAAGATTCGGTAAAGCACAGAGGTTTTATTAAAGCAAAAGTACACACTCAGGGAATGAGTCTCCCCAAAGGGTCTCAGGGGCTAGGCTTATATTTGGGGCTGGCTAGGAGGAACTCATAAGGGTGTGGATCTGGGCAGAGTGGAGGCAGAGAGGGCCAGGCACCACCTTCCCATGGGAGAGGGAGATTTTATCCTTATTTGGCATTTTCCAGAACTGTCTTGGTGGTGGTTACCATACAGATGGGGAGGGAAGAGGCGAGTACCTCAATCTAGCTAACCTGCCTCAACTCAATTCCTTGGCTCCATTCTTGCTTTCCAAAGCCAGGACCCTCAAACTCCCCTCTGTAGCTGCAATGATCCTCTAAAATATAGGTCAGGTCCTGTCACTTCCCTGCTCAAAGTCCTCCAATGTGTCCCCATCACACAGAATAAATCAAAGGGTTTTCATACCTCATGGCTCTACATGCTCTTCTGCTTGGCATCCTCCCGAAACCTCATCTCCTACCCCTTGCCCCTCATTCACATGGGCTATTGCTCAGGTCTCCTCACAGCCTTTGTTATTCTTCTGGAATGTTCTTCTTTCACATGGCTCCCTCTGATACATTACGAAGGTGTCAGCTTCAATGTCACCTCCTCGGAGAGGCCTTCCCCAGCTACCTAAAGAGTCCCCCATTCTTCCAGCCCTTCTACTCTTGGGAAGCCTCGTTTGAGCATTTAACACAGATTTGGGGGACCACTGCCTCCCAAAGAAAGTAAGCACCACGAGGTTGGGACTGTGGCTCTCTTTGTCTGCCAGCACCTCGAGTGCAGTCTAGCCCGGTGGGGGTTGCTTCTGCCCCCAGGTGTCGAGGGGCAGTGGGCTGGAGGCCACAGCGAGGCGGGCCCTGACACTGTTTCTTCCTGTGCCCGGCCAGGTCCTGCAGATCTGTCCCAAGGACATGAGAGCTGACATCTGTGTGCACCTGAACCGCAAGGTGTTCAAGGAGCACCCTGCTTTCCGGCTGGCCAGCGACGGCTGCCTGCGGGCACTGGCCATGGAGTTCCAGACGGTGCACTGCGCCCCGGGGGACCTCATCTACCACGCAGGAGAGAGCGTCGACAGCCTCTGCTTCGTGGTCTCCGGCTCCCTGGAGGTGATCCAGGACGACGAGGTGGTGGCCATCCTAGGTAGGTGCTGCCTTTGCTGGAAGGAAACCTTCTGGTGTCCGCGGTGGGCAGCTCAGTGCCACTGCTGCCTGCACCCAGAGATTGCACCACAGGGCAACACCTGTTGTTAGCTGGCATCTATGCATCTATCCTACAAACAAATATTTGAGTGCCTGTTTTCGTGGCAGTCACAGTCTGAGGCACTTGGGGTATTGCAATGACAAAAAGGGGTTTTGTCTTCAAGAGACTCCCATTCTACTGGGGAGACATTTGCCTACAGTGGGAGGGGCCTCTAACCCAGTATTCAAGTGTTGGGAGGGCTTCTTGGAAGAAATGACTGCTAAGCTGAAAAATAAAGTTTGAGAATGAGTTAGCATGGAGAAGCGAAGGGACAAGGAGTATTCTAAGCAGAGGGGGGAGCATGTGTGAAATCCCTGCGGAGAGAGAGCATGATTCATTTGAAGAACTGTGTGCGCATCAGTGTGGCTGGAGCACACAGAACCAGAAGGGGCCTGGGAGAAATGGGGCTAGGGCAGTGGTCGGCAAACTGCGGCTCGGCAAACCGTGGCTCTCGAGCCACATGTGGCTCTTTGGCCCCTTGAGTGTGGCTCTTCCACAAAATACCGACTTCTGCGCATGGGCCACAAAGTTTCAATCGCACTGCCCGCACGTGGTATTTTGTGAAAGAGCCACACTCAAGGGGCCAAAGAGCCGCATGTAGCTCGCGAGCCACGGTTTGCCGACCACAGGGCTAGGGAATGAGCCACGCATGAGGTAGATCATGTAGGACCTGGAATCCACGCTAAGGGACTTGGATGTTACGTGGGGGAGCCCAAGAAGGGTTTAAGCAGGGGAGAGGCACTATCTGATTTGTACTTCAGAGAGGGGACTATATAATTGCAGCTTGAGAGTGGATCGAAGCGGGAAGGCTGGGCGGGCAGGTGAGGCTGGAGACATGTTATCTACGGGCAAGTTGCTAGTGAGCAGATGGAGAGAAACAAATGGAGTGACTAGTATTTTAAAAGTAGGCTCAATAGAACCTGATGAAGGATTTACTGGATGTACTGTTGGGAGTCAATGAGGACTGCAGGGTTTCTCACTTGGATAACAGGAAAGCTGGTCGGCCACACACCATCGTAGGGAATGTGGGAGGCGGAAAGGAACGAGGGGGCACAGGTTGGCATTTTGCACGTTGAGCATCAGTGACCTTTGAGAGATTCATCTGCTTGCCTGAGGTGGCGTCAGGGCAGCTCTTTACTGGGGGCACGTCTCCTCTTGGGGTGGGCAGGACATCTGGTCTGCACCAGGCATTTTTCCTGCAGATTCTCAGTCAATCTTTAGAGTAACCCCATGAAGTGATTGCATGATCCCCATTTTGTGTATGAGACAATGAAAGCTCAGAAAGGTTAGGAAACTCTCCCAAAACCTCACAGCTGACAAGGCCCCTGAGCCAGCATCCTGGAGGCCCTCAGACTCCAAATCCTCTGCCGATCCATTTTGCAACACTGCAATCCTAGTGATAATTTGTGTAGTTTGCTGGTCCATTAAGTTACCAGATCCTGCTAAACATTGTAGATATATATTTTTATCTTTTACATATGATGTTTCAGGACTCTGAGGCAGGGAGAGATTTATACCGGAGTTAGAATTGAGATTCAAACTAAGTATCTAGACATAGACAGTGTTTTTTTAAAAAAATTCTAAACTTTGCTCCTGCTTGACCTTGGAGTACATGAATATGCAGCCCTCCTCTTGCTCCTCTGGCCCCAGGCGAACTTGCCCTCTTGGTTACATTCTGCTCAGGTTAATAATCGAGGATGATTTCTATTCCTCTGCATGTGCTGGAGACTGGGATAGAGTCTGGGTGGGGGGTGGAGGCTGAAACAAGTGTTCTGGATTCCTGGTATCCAGTGAACTCTGCAGACAGAGTTATTCTGTTCCTTGCCTTTCTCATCCACAGAGACGTGAGGTTTGACTGTGTATGAGGAACAGGGCACAGGAATGGTACAGCCATCGATTTAACATTGCTGCAGGGAGATGACATATATCCCTGCCTTCAATAAGTGCCCTTGATAAAGAGGACTTTCCATTGGTAATAGTGACTGGGGTGTTTGCCTGAGAAGAAGAGTAACTAGTGACTAGTCGGCTCTCCTTTGAATTTGAACTGATATTTTAGTGTGGGGCATCTTTCCCGCCTCACTGATAGCACCATATGGCTTTCCAAGGAATACTGTCTGCCTTACATACTCATGCTCAGGGCACCCTTACTGATGTGCCACAAACAGCGGCACTATTAGGAGCTGGGTGTGGACTCCTAGGCATGGAAGTATGAGAGAGCCGCAGAGGAGTGAGGAAGACAAATGACTGCGTCCAAGACATGTCCCATTTCCCCTCTGCCTGGGCTTCTTGTGGGGAAGCACCAGCCTTGGTTTATTGTTGATTTACTTGGTCAATTGATCGCTTCTCCAAAGCCAGCCCTCTGCCTCGGGCCTCCCGAGCACCCTGCCTGCTCCAGTTAGCCACGTGGACGGGGCCTCTGACATAGCTCAGCAGCTACGGGTTCAAAGTGGTTGCTGCCTTCAAGCTGTCCAGACTAGGAAAAAACATCTTCCACGCGTCCCCAGGAGCCAGGAGATCTCAAGAGGCTCTTATTCCATAAAAGGATGATACAAGCTCTTGGAGTCAACCTGACCTCTGGGCCAAGACACAGAAGAGATTCCAAGCGATCTGCTCTCTGGAAGCCTAAGTTCTGAGCTCTTGTTCTCTAAACAGGTTTTCAAGCATCAGATGGGTATGAGAGCTCGATCTTTATTGCCACTTGGTGCCCTTGAGTTCAATCCAGCCAACATGTCTTGAACAGTGTCATGGGGGTGAGGATGCAGCTGTGGACCGAACATTAGCCCAGCCGTCAAGGAGCTTCAGTGGAGGAGGCCGACGTTATTTAAAAAGCAACGATCACATTGCTTGATAACTGTTATCATAGAGAGAATGCAGGTGCTTCTAGAGCAGCAGTTCTCAACCTGTGGGTCGCGACCCCTTTTTGGTCGAACGACCCTTTCACCGGGGTCGCCTAAGACCATCCTGCATATCAGATATTTATATTACGATTCATAACAGTAGCAACATTACAGTTATGAAGCAGCAACGAAAATAATTTCATGGTTGGGTCACAACATGAGGAACTGTATTTAAAGGGCCAGAAGGTTGAGAACCACTGTTCTAGAGGGTCATTGGACAAGTAATTATTGAGCAGCTACTGTGTATCCGGTGCTCCAATGAGGAAGGGGGACAGCCGGGTCATCTTTACTTGTCATATAGAGCAGGAGTCTTTAGAAAAAAGCCCAGAGCTCATTTATCTCATCTGTTTGGTCTCTAGCCCCTTGTTAGCAGTTCACTCATTTACATTCCGCTAATTTGTTTCCTTCTTTCAGTACTTACTTTCCCCGCCCCATCCTCTGTTTAATTTTAGCACAGACGCCAAGAATGAGGAGAAAGGTCACTGTTCATAGCTGAGCGTGTTTAGCATGAAAGTGTCAGAAAAGCGTGTTTCAAACCTGACTACACTTCATCATATGAAATGTTTATTACATCATGAGCTCCTAAACACGTGCACACACAATTATACATAAAACTCAGTGCTTACTTTTTAACTTTATTTTTTTGACTCTCTTCCAGATGTCCCCATTCCCTCTCCCCCCACTTTGCCCACCTCTACCCAGTCCCTGCTCCCTCCTTCCCTCTGATACAACTGGCATTTTCTGTTGGATTCTATTACCTTCCATTTAAAAAGAAATTGACTGTCATGACCCACTAAATTGCTTTCTTGACCTGATCACAGTCTGCAGTTTAAAAACATGGTCCCACAAACATAGACCGTATCTCTCTTGGACTGAAGGCCATGCTGTGTCCTGAGAACAGAATATACTAGATGGTCTCTTATGATCTCCTTTTCCTCTGATGTTCTCTGCCTTAGTTTTGAGATGACACCTTCCCAAATCTCCTTTTGCAATGCTCTTATAAATCACTTAATGTCTCCTCAATTTTAGTTTCTTGGTTCTTTAAAATAAATGTAAGACCTCAGCATTTGCATCTTTCGTGATCTTTTAAAAAATAATTTTCTTCTGGTTTTTCATAGGCATCAGAATAAAAAGGCACAGGTACCCATTTTTGCCCCTGGCCAACTAGTACTATTAGCATTTGCAAGTAACTTGTTATCTATGTGTGTTACTTGGCCACAGTAGATGAGTCACAGGCTTTCATCGAGGCTGTGCTTGAATGTGGTCCAGCTCCCTGTGTTTCCAGCTTATAAATGTGGTATTTAAATGATCTTATTTCACTGTGATTTAGTGTCTCTGTAGTAACTTTTATGGGTTTTACATTTTAATACTTAATTTGTATTTTAATCATGGATCATCTTGGATCTTTTCTTTTTCTTTGTTTTGTTTCATTCTATTGGGCAAGCAAGACTGAGGTCATTTTGGCCAGACTGCCTTGAGTAACGTAAAGAGCCCTGCCTGGCTGGTGTGGCTCAATGGTTGAGCCTCGACCCATGAACTAGGAGGTCACAGTTCAATTCCTGGTCAGGACACATGCCTGGGTTATGGGCTTGATCCCCATTAGGGGGTGTGCAGGAGGCAGCCAATCAATGATTCTCTCTCATCATTGATGCTTCTATCTCTCTCTCTTCCTTCTCCCTTCCTCTCTCTGAAGTTAATAAAAACATATTTTAAAAATTGTTTAAAGAGCCCTGGACCTGAGCTGGAGATTTCAACTGTAGCCCTGGCTCTGCATTAACTCCCTGCAGGAGTTACCGCTAACTGGCTAAGTCTCTAAGACCCCCCAGTAGTTATACTAAGCCCATAGCACTGCATCAATCACATGTTTACTCATCTGTCTCTCCTGTGAGCTGAGAACGTTTGATTTCATACCTCTGGCTTGGCCCAGCACATGGAAGGCACTATTGGCTGTTTGCTGAATTGAATTGAGTTCAGTTGGATTTGAAAGGCAGGCTGTGAAAGGCC